TTATATTATAATATTTTTTATTATATGTTATATTATATTATATTTTAAGATATAACTACTATATAATATAGTTTAATTATATTATAATATTAAAGGATAATAATAAAAAAAGAACTTAGAATGACCATTCCTCCTATATGAGGAAAGAATGATGATTCACTCAAAATTGGTGAATGGCCATTTCTTTTGAATGATCATTTATTTTTTATAAATCAAACCAAACATCAAACTAGAATTTCATTCCATTCTATTTCATTCCTTTCCACCCAACCAAATAGACCCTTAAATCAATTTTCTGCTTGAAAAATCATCATGAGAATGAATCATCCATGGAATACGCGGTGTGTTGGCCACAATACGAGGACTATGAACAGGACAAATTTTGTGTACTCAATAAGAATCTATTTCCCATCAAGTGTGAATCAGTGATCACCGTCAAAAGAGATTTAACAAAAACAAGGACCACACATATCAAGTTCCCTACTTGCTCATTCCAAGTAAAAGATTTTCAGTTATTCATGACCAACGACATCCCATAAAAGCGAGTAAATAAAAAAAAAAAAAAAATGCTAAGGGGACAACCACGTTGTGTTGGGACACAATTTGCCAAAGACAATGATGTCACTCAAGTTGCTGATGCTGACTGGAATCAATCTCTTCATTATTCACGTAACTCCAAACATTGATAAATGTTTGGTTGGAAAAGCCTAGTTAAAAAATTTGGCAAAAGGCATGCCTAAGTATCATTTTTCTCTCTCATATTCACGTAAAGCAAGGTTAACGCATTTCCCTTTCTTTGAACCTCAAAAGTATCATGAAATAGGAATTATTCATCTTTCTAATTGCCGTGTGCTGCTAAGGCTAAACTGGGACCATAAGAATGAAGCAGGACAACTATAGTTGTGCCAGTCACTTTTGGCAGATACAAAGAGGAAAAATCGTGCTTTCCTTCTAAAACCAAGTACAATGCCTAGTAAGAGGAGTAATGACAGGCTTACAAGTAATTTAAAGATGCAATAGGAACAATAAGATAAGACGAAACAAGAAGTTTCCCACCAGGGCTAACAACCAAAATCATAATGGACAAAGATGTAAATTTGGGGAACAATCAAAATGGGCTCCACAAAGGAATTCGATACTATATCATTTATCAAGTAATGATCATCCCATTAAAAATATCTAATTGTACAATAGACTTCTGATACAAGTTTTAACAAATAACAAAATTCATTACTATGATCACTGACACAACATTAAAACACACACACACACACAAAAAACAAAAAAACAAAATGATGAGAACTCTGCCACATAACCAAAGAAACGAAACTAACACGTCTAGAGATCATAGCACTCACTGAGCGGGTACAAACAGAACGTAACAAGAAATGAAGCAACCAAAAACACAATTCAACATCCGGTAGAGTGTCAAATGAAGTCTAAAACGTAAACAAGATAAAAGCAGCAGTCAGGATAGGTGATGATCAATAACCTGAATGGAAACGAAAATGTTAATTTGAACTATGAAACTTTCTCCACAGGATACTTGTCAATGCAGTCTTCCCAGGGACCATTACGTGACGGCTTCACATTCCGAAGCGCTTGCCAAACCGCGCTATTACACTTGAAACCACTTCCAAACGCAATCTGCCACACACGATTTCCCCTGCGCATCCTTCCCTGTGCTTCTGTGTAGGCCAACTCATACCAAATGGAGCTCGATGAGGTGTTCCCAAACCGGTGCAGAGTCATCCGAGAAGCCTCGACGTGCACCTGCGAAAGCTGCAAATTCTTCTCAAGCTCATCAATCACAGCCCTTCCACCAGCGTGTATGCAGAAATGATCAAACGCCAGTTTGAAATCCGGAATATAAGGCTTCACATCCGCATTGAAAAACTTCTTAACGACAAGAGTTGCAAAGAAAAGAAGCTGCTCGCTAATAGGCAGCACAAGAGGGCCTAAAGTAGTGATATTAGTCTTAAGAGCACCACCAGCTATTGCCATCAAATCTTTGGACAAAGAAACCCCCGTCTTCCCCGCATCGTCCTGTTCTTGGTAAACACAACGGAAAGCCTTATCATCTGCTCCCTTATGAGTCCTCACAACATGTACAAGCCTGTACTTAGCTCTCCTCCTATCCATGGACTTATTCGATAGCAAAACCGCCGCCCCCCCAACGCGAAACAAACAATTAGGAATCAACATGGACTTCTTATTCCCAAAGTACCAATTTTGAGTGATGTTCTCAGTGCTCACAACAACAGCATAAGTGTTCCTATGAACTTGCAATAAGTCTTTTGCTAAATCAACAGCTATAACCCCAGCACTACAGCCCATCCCTCCCAAATTGAAACTCCTAATATTACCCCTCAATTTGTACTTATTAACAATCATGGCGGAAAGCGACGGTGTAGGGTTAAACAAGCTACAATTCACAACGAGAATGCCAATATCCTTAGGCTTAACATTCGTATTAGCAAAAAGATTATCTAAAGCCCCAAACATCACCTGCTCGGCCTCCTCTCTGGCCGCCGCCATGGACGGCCGGGGAGGAATGAAGTGCATCGCCTCGGGGACGTACGTTTCCTCTCCAAGACCCGAGCGCTCCAGAATCTTACGCTGAAACTCGAGCGACGAGTCGTCGAAGTCGCCGGTGAGCTCCGAGTGCGTCATGAACCGATCGAAGGGAGCCTTGAGGTTGTCGGGGGCTCGATAACAGGAGTAATCGACGAGGTAAACGGGTCTGGGCCTGGTCATGATGTAGACGGTGAGACCGACGACCAGGAAAGAAGAGCAAATGATAACACTTACGAGGTTGTACTGGAGATGAAGCCATAGCTGCCGCAGATCTCCAAGATCCATCTGTGAGGCCTCGATTAGGGTTACGATGATGAGAGGGACGAAGCAGAGGGTCAAGAGATTGGAGATTAGGTAATGGTACCCCAATTTCACGTACTTGAGATTCACGCTCTGGAGGAAATCCGGCAGCCTCCTGCTCTGCTGGATCTGAACCGTGCCAGCGCCGCCGCCGGCACCGGCAGTTGCGCTGCCTCGGTCGTCCATGGCCGTCGCCGATCGTACCGACGACGAATCAACCGACTTCCTCTCTCTCCTCTCTCCTCTCTCTTATATCGGATGGGTTGTGTAAATAAGAATATAAGGAGCGTGAGCGTAAAAATCGGAGAATTGAAAAAGGATTTATTTTTAATTTTTTTAAATCAGATTTTTTCTTGTGTGGGAAAGAAAAAGAAGGAAAGAGGCGGATTTTGACGGTTAATGAAGGAGAAATTGCGTGGGAAGAGGAGGAATATACGGCTCAACGGATGCTGATGTAGATGCTCATGGCCCTTTTCTGAGTGGAGTGTTTTTTTTTTTTTTTTT